AAAAAAAAGACATATATAAATGTACATAAAGAATAATCCCAACTGCAAAATTGTAAAAGAGTGATGGGAGGAAATGTGTCACCCCACTGACAGAATCATCTCCCGTGACGTTTTACGAGCGACCACTTTCCATCTTTTTTTGCATTTTCCAATTTTTCCATTATAAAAAAAATATGAATTAAGAAAAACACTTGGACTTCGGGACTGAGAACAAACTTTATCAAACGACCCTGAATTGATCTGCTTTTCCCAAAGATTTGCATCTGCAGAGTCACCAAATCTATTCAAGACTAGCAAAAAAAGCACCTCAAAGTCAAATGTGCTGAGAGCTGGGAGAGGCCGAGGAGAAAAGTAGCAGGAGATCAATAGGAAAGAACGAGAGAGTTGCCCGCTAGGAAGAAGCAGCACACACAAGCCTCCGGACACTTCCAGCCCGTCCATCCCCCGACGGCAGGCCGGCTCTGCAGAGACCTGTCTCCAGCTGTGCACGGACCGACCGGGGGGGGGCTCAGGGCTGTGTCCTTGGAAAGTCCTGGATCTTTTTCCATGTCCTTTATACATCTCCAGTGGATGGGAGCCTCAGTCAGGTTTGTAGACAAAATAGCAATAAAAACCGAGCTCCCAGGCGTATGATGGTCTGGCACCTTGACCTTTTCTAGAAATCTAAGTCGTCTTGACTGAAGCCATCTGGCCGGCCCACCCCCTGGGTGAGGGCCAGGCTTCCTGCTGCCGTCTGGTCTTGTAAATCAGAGCGCATGCCTGGCCCCTGCTCTGGAGTCCTTGGGCCTGAGGGGGTCCCATCTTGCTCGGAGGTAGAGTGTTCTGGATACATCCCCGTGACTTTTCTTTCTGCGTGAGGGGCCTCTCTGGACTCTGCTTCAACGTCCCTTATGTCTGCACTCAAATGGTCTTCTGGGCCTTTCTGAGAGGCCTGAGAGCCATTGCCCAGAGATGANCTGCACTCAAATGGTCTTCTGGGCCTTTCTGAGAGGCCTGAGAGCCATTGCCCAGAGATGACGTGCTGGAGGAGGAAAGGCCTGGTTCGGGGTCCAGCCTTTGGTGGGGCACGTCTCCTTCTGGGCCAGGGGTGGGCATGGGCCGCCCCTCTTGGTCTGGGCTGCTGTCCCCTGAAGCCTGGCCCGACTGGCCCTCTGCTAGACCAACCCTAGGGCTACCTTCATTCTCACTCTGACATCCTCCTTCTGACCCAGTCTGTCCCTGTCCTTCAGCTTCCAGGGCCTTTACAGCCTCGGTGCCATTGCTCTGTGCTCCTGGATTGGGGTTCCCTCCTTCCAAAGCCTCGTCCTCCGAATTGTCCTCATTCCTGGAGCCCCCATCCAGAGACTCTTCCTGCTCATGCCCACCCTGCTCCTCATGCGCTGCTCCCTGCAGGTCGCTGCCAGCACTGGGGCAGGCGTCCCCTTCTCTCTCCTGAGCGGCGGCACCATCCTCTCTTTCCCGGGAGCTGGCCCCCTCGGTCTCTGCTAGCTTGGGATCTTCCTCTCTGCTGAGTCCCTGGCTTCCCTGTCCCTCATTTCCCGTGTCCCCTTCTCTCTCCTGAGCGGCGGCACCATCCTCTCCTTCCCGGGAGCTGGCCCCCTCGGCCTCTGCTAGCTTGGGATCTTCCTCTCTGCTGAGTCCCTGGCTTCCCTGTCCCTCATTTCCCGCGGCCACCCCAGGGTCAGGGCCTAACCCCAGCTCCAGCCCCCCATCGGCTCCCTGGATGGTCCTGGTCCTGGAGGGCTCCTCCTGAAGCAGCTGCATCCCTCCTGTCCCAGGAGCCACTTCTGCCACCTCCCCATCATCGCACCCTCCTTTCTTCCTCTGCAGAATCTGCCGCAGGTCAAAGGCCTTGGTGATGGGCACGCTGGCTGCCCCCATGGTGTCCTTGGGGGATGCAGGGATTGCTTTCTTCCTCACACAGGCCTCACAGGGACAGAACTCGTCCCCCTCAGCCTCCCCATCTAGCCAAGTCCCCTGGGCTGCACGGAGGGGTAGCCTGTCCTCCTGGGCAAGGGAGAGGGGCTCCCAGTTTCGGGTCTGCTCAGAGAAGGCCGAGAGGTTGTGCAGGCCCTGGAGGCGGTGCCTGCGCTGTTCTGCACGCAGGAACATCTTCTCCCCAAGAGCTCCCCTCTGGGGCAGGCCCCTGCCCTTCCCCTCGGCCCGGCTCTGGATCTCCTGGAGTTCTCGCTCAGTGCTGTCTCGAAGCCGCCGGCCCACGTCCTGCTCCAGCTCAGCTGCCATTCGGTCCAGCAGGCAGTTGTCCTGCAGGCTCCAGCGGGCTCGGAGCTCAGCCACAGCACTGACAAGGTGTGCCAGGAAGGACTGCTCCATCTTCTCCAGCAACCTGAACACCCAGAGGGGATCAGGGTCCAGAGAGGCTCTGCAAGCCATAGATGTGGCTGTCTCTTCAGTTTCTGGGGTGGACGTGGCCTGGGCTTGCTCGTGGACTGTCACTGCTGCTCCAGGTGGCTCTTCTAAACCAGGCTCAAGCTTGGGACTGCTTTGACTCTCAGGAGCATCAGGGTCCCCCTCGCTGAGATGACCAGGGGGCTCTCTGGGCTTCTCTGCACTCCCTGGGGGGTGCAGCCCTGCAGAGGCAGGGTCTCCTCCTGCTTCCTCTTCCTGCAGGCCCTCGTCTCCCCCTGGGCCTCCCCCGTCCTCCCCATCTGAAGAGCCAGCCTCCAACTCCTGGCCACTGGCTCCTCTCTCTCCTGGAGACCCTTCCTCTTCGACCCCCTCTTCTTGCACCATGCTTGCAGCTAATCGGTTTGGGTCACTGCTCAGCATCTGCTCTCTGGGAGCCCTCCCGGATCCGTCCGAGTTGGCTGCAGGAGCCCACGCCCGGGAGTTGGAGGAGGCTGTGCAGCAGTTCGGCTGCTGGTTTACCGGGTCCTCTGGGTTCTCTGAGGTTCTGGAGTCAGATCCCTGGTGGGGCATTTCTAGGGGCAGCTCCACCTTCTCAGAGGCCAGGGTGCAGTCCACAGCACAAGGCCCGCTGCCCTCCCCCGAGCCTCCGGAGCCACTGCTGACATCCACTCCCGAAGAGGACGTTGGTGTGAAGTCCTCAGTCATGGCGTGGGACCCGAGGCCCGGCAGAGCCTGGCACAAGGCAAGCTCCTGCAGGCCCGAGTCCTCCTGGAGGCCTGAGTCCGGCTGGTCCGGCCCAGGGCCACACCCTGGCCACAAGGCCTGGGAGAGGCTCAGCAGCTCCTGGTACCAAGCGGAGTCTGTGAAGCCCCCTTTGCCGGCAGGAGACCCAAGATCGTCATCAAAGAAGTGCAGCCTGGTGAGGCAGGTGATGAGGGCCCCGGCCGAGCGGCTGAGCCTGGTGGCTGCCGTGTGGGATAGTTCTGGTAGGCTGCTGGGCCGGTCCTGCTCAGAGCCCATCAGCACCTTCAACATCTGTGTGGAGGCAGAGACCCTGCCGGGCAGCATGCCCCAACTCCCAATGCAGCCCACAGAGGCCCCTCCGCCTGCCCCAGCCTCCGCAGGGGCTTTGGAAACTCCCACCAGAGCTGCACTTTGGGGGAGACCCTCTGCTGATTTGGGACCAGCATCTCCAGTCACTGGGATGGCTCCAGCTGGCTCTAGGTTCTCACTGGCATCCCTTTCCAGGGGCTGTTGTCCGGCCTGGGCTAGCTCCCCTGGGTCTTTGGGACAGTGGTCATCACCAGGGTCCTCCCGGGGGTCCCCTGGGCTGTCTCCAGCCACATCTGTGGTCTCATCCACCATCTCAAGTTTCATGAGTTCAGTTTCTTCTGGGAGGTTGCTCAGCCACTCACGGACCACGGCATCTGGTGAGGCCTGGGGCAGAGTGCCAGGCGTCACGCCACCATCCCCCACCTGTACCCCCAGGCCTCCCCCCACACCGATGGTCATACCCTGTGACACCCTCCTGGGCCCAGCACCAGAGCTGGGGCTACTTCTTGCTGCCCCTGACTCAGGGCCTGGGGGCAGCACACACCCTACCTTGAGTGTTTCCTGCCCCCGCTCACCCCTACCGGGTCCCCAGTCAGCACTGCAGTCACCATTGCTGCTGGAAGTGGGCTTCCTGGTACAGGACCACCCCATGGAGGGAGAGGAGCTATACCCGTGGCACACCCAGCGGGCGTCAGAGAGGGGTCCCCCCGAGGACCGTGTTTCAGCACCTGTGGCTGGGCTTCCTGGTACAGGACCACCCCATGGAGGGAGAGGAGCTATACCCATGGCACACCCAGCGGGCGTCAGAGAGGGGTCCCCCCGAGGACCGTGTTTCAGCACCTGTGGCCCCGTGGACCGGGGATGCCCCCACCTGTGAGTAGCAGTGGCCTCGGGGGTCTCCTGGCTCCCCTGGCACAGATGAGGAAGACTTTTCCACCAGGCAGGAGTCAGACATGCGGGTGGGCATGGGGGCTGCTGAGCCCGCCCTGATCTCGGAGTCCCCTGCCATCCCAACAGAGGCAGTGTCACAGTGGTAGAAGTTAGATGCGCAGCTGGAGTTACTCACGGGTGTGACAGAGGCGCTGCTGACCCTGGGCACGTCCTGGGAATGAAGGGAACCCGAGGTGGGAGGCCGGGGGACCCTGGAGCCCCGCTTCACATGCGAGGAGCTTTCAGAAAGTCGTGGTGCCAGGCCATCGGGGTGGGCCCTTCCTCTGTCAGGAGGCCTCGGCACTTGCCGGGCTGCAGGTGAGTCCAGCGGGCAGCCGGTGTCCCTGCGGTGTCCGTGCTGCCTGGGATGGACTTGCTGGACCACTTGGCCAAGGCCAGAAACGCCGGCTGAGCCCAGAGCACTAGCTCGGCTCTTCTGCGGCCTCCTCCCCCGCTGGGGTGGGGCACAGGCAGAAAGAGGGGGAGAGCCTCCTTTGGTGTCCCAAGAGCCAGAATGGCCCAGGGGCAACCTCGGCAGGGACCCACCCCTGGCCTGGAGGCACCAGGTACCCTCTCCGCATGTCTCTGCCTGTAGGTTCTTGTCCCTCAAAGATGAGGGAGTCTGGGTGGGAGAACCAGGACCACCACCCCGAGTGGCCTTCTGCTGGGAAGTCACAGCCCTCGCCTGGCCCAGGCAGCCCCCGTGCCATCTGCCCCGTGCGCTGGACTCCTCGGGACACCCTGTACTGGCCAATGTGTCAGAAGGAGCCCCTTCTGCACTGTGTTGTTCCTGGCTGCCTGGCCCCGCTCCCTCTGGGCAAGGGCCAGGTCCCTGGCCAGCTTCCCTCACTGCCTCTGTCTGGGAAGCAGCCATGGGGGCTGGGCTGCTGCTGCCCACGCTGCCCTCCGGGGTCCTGGGGCAGGAGGAGTCTGGCTCAGAGCCTTCAGGACAGCTGGCACTGGAGGCCGGGCTGACACTGTCCTTGCAGCCTCTTTTCCTGCCAGCGGCCGCGTGGCCACAGGATCCCCTGCAGCAGGAGGTCAGCCTGGACCTGGTCTGAGAAGAGGGTCCCTCTCCCTGGGAGGTGTTCAGGGGGTTCGTCCAGATCTCATACCTGGGCCCTGGCTGCCGGCCGTGGCCGAAGGCTCCCTCAAATCCTGCCTTGCAGGGCCCCGGTCTCTGCAGCCCAGGCTCCCAGAAGCCCCAGGGGTGGCCCTCCCACACACAGCGGAGGGGGTCCACCTCCCCCAGGACAGGGCCCTCCCCGCTGGCCCGCCCCACCCTCCGTGAGCACAGGTGTGTGTCCTCGCCAAGGAGGTGGAAGCGGACTTTCATCTCCACAGACAGGCTGCCATCCTCATTCACGCAGACCTTCTTCTCCAGGTCATCTCCAGCCACCAAGGAGCCAAGCTGGGCAGGCGCATCGTGAGCCTGCTTGTTGGGGGCAGTGCCCTCCCAGGCTCGATCACCAACACCAGACCTCTCCGACAGCAAGGAGAACCCCCGCGGCCTGCCGCCCGACCTGGGCCTCGAGTGGATCACGCTCGGCTTGGCCTTTGGCCCCCAGCTCCCTGGAGTGCAGTGAAAAGTAAGAGAAAAGAGGAAAAGATAGTGAGCTACGGGGGACATCAGGGTGAAGGAATAAGGGGGTCGCGAGCCTTCCACCCCTAAATCACACTGCTGCCTCCAGAGCCACACAGTCGACCTGGGCCTCGAGTGGATCACGCTCGGCTTGGCCTTTGGCCCCCAGCTCCCTGGTGTGCAGTGAAAAGTAAGAGAAAAGAGGAAAAGATAGTGAGCTACGGGGGACATCAGGGTGAAAGAATAAGGGGGTCGCGAGCCTTCCACCCCTAAATCACACTGCTGCCTCCAGAGCCACACAGTAAGGACAGAGCCATTCTAGAATGATCAGTCCCAGAACTGCCCATCTGTGAACCGGCACAGCTGAGCCCCACGGACTTGAGTCTGAATTCAATCTCAACTCCGCCACCTGCCAGCTGGGTGGCTTTGGGCAGAGCCTGCCTTCTGAACTGTAAAATAAGCGTAACAACGTGTCTCTGGCAGGTGTGTTCTGTGATGCGCGGCCTTGTGTATAATCCTGCGCAATTGCTAGCTCCGGGGAGATTGCAGAGACAGCGGCGTCGACAGGCAGAGCAGCGGTGCCCAGAGCCAGGCCTGCCCTCCCCGCCCGCCCCAGCACAGCCGACGGAATCAACAGGCTGCGCCGTGCTGGCGTAAACTGCAAGATGCTTTGCCACGGCTAATGGCCATTTTCATCCTGACACGCATCAGCCTTTGCTGCTGATGACTGATTGCAAGGACCGACCTGGGCACACCAGGTAAGGTTCTGATAGTCCCTCCCACACCCCAGCCATGAAAAAGAGAGGAGGAAGGAGCCTCTGGGGACAGAGAGAAAAGGCCCTCGGAAAGAATGGGGTCCTCAGGACTTTCTCTCTCCATCTGCTGTGCTAACACTGGCTGGAGGGCAGGGCTGAGCCTGGGACCTGCAAAAACACAGACCCACGAGCACGTGTGGCAGAAGCCTGCTCCTCCACAGCGCTCACCGAGACTGCGGCTCCTGCAGGAGGGTCTCTGTGCCCCCAGCCCCTGGGGTCCAGCAATCACCAAACTGTTGCTGGTGTTTTCTTAGCTTTTTACAAAGGGTAATAGTTTGTTTCTCACCAAAATTTACCCAGTCGTTTTCATAAGCTTTTATTCTGCATTTGTTCATTGTGCTTTTTGAAATAATGTGTTTTGGTTGTTTATTGTTTTTGTTTTTGTTTTTTAAATAACAACGCCTAGACTGTGTCACAGTGCAGGCCTTTTGCATGGGTACATGGTTGTTTGATTGATGGTCACGGCTAGCTTCTGTCCTTTCGGCCCCTCTGCAGGCCACAGCTATGACTCTTAAAGGAGGCAACTGCCACACACGCACGGCCCGCTGCCTCCACGGTGTCATGCCCACCGGGGTTCTTGATAAAAGTTCTTTTAGAGCTTGGAAACTTCAAGTTCAAGATCTCCTAATCTCTATTCTCCTTAGATATCAGACTCTGCTCTCTCATGTTCCAGCCAAATGTTCAGCCCAGTTAAGGTTGATGGTGATGAGGATGAGGCAAGAGAGACCCCAAATGACCCCAAAATATGGGCCAAAGGCAGGAAGAAATACCTGCCCCACCCCCCGAGCCTCTATTCAGTTCAAGTCAGGTTGGGGGACCCCCAAACCCACTTACCGTTTTCATTCCTTAAAGTCAACCCAGATGAAGTTTCAGTCCAATGTCTGCCAGCGTCTTCCATGGCCAGAGGTCTGAAGGCCTCATGACCGGCACACAGCAGCACAGAGGGGCCACACAGCAGACTCTGCAGAGAGTCCACCTGAAGGAGGAGAGCATGGCGTCAGCAGCCCTCTGCCCAGGAAGGCTCAGGCCACGGAGGAATCCAGTCTCTCCAGTCCCCTCCCAACTCCTGGTCCAAGGAGGGATCCCGCCTCCCCCCGCAGCCCCTCAGTGGGGCTGGGGTCCTACCAACACGATCTCCCTCTCCACTGCACCCCTCTCTCCCCCACAGGGAGGCCTGTGATCCAAAGGTCACTGTGGATGCCTCAGGTGAAGAAGACTTTGGCGCCTTTAGCCCGCTTCTCTGCCCACACGTCCACCCTCCAGAATGTGTATTTCCTAAAGCAACCGGAGCAGAAAGCCCCAGCTCCCATATGGAGATCTGACTCACTGTCCCACCCTTTTCCCAGGTGAGAGTTCTCTCAGGTGTGGTCTGTGTTTTCCAGCACGATCTGAGCCCATGGCCTCTGCCTCTGCCCAAGAGGAGTGGGAAGGAGCCAGGCACCGCTCCCCACAAACTCCTGCAATAGTCTCTAGGCCCCTGCCCCCAGCCACCCCTGGAGCCACCAGCAGGACAGCCCCCTGCCCACTCCTGGCCTCAGAGCTGAGCAGGCAACATCACTGCTGGCTTCCACTCCGGGAAACAGGTCTCTGCTTTTGGAAAATCTCCCCAGGTCCTAGATGCCCTGTACATCTGAGAGCTTGTGCCGTGGACAGTGTCACACTGTAACTAGCGGTGTTGGGGGATGTATTTCCTTCCATCTTAAAAACACAGAATATGTTCTTTCTTACTTTTTCAAATTAGAAGTGTATGCTCATTAACAAGGAAATGAAAAGAAGACATCCTCTCTCCCCAAAATGACATTTGAGTTTGTTGGACACCAGATCTTTCAGCCCAGTTATTTAGAAGTTTGTTTTAAGCTACAAGGTACACTTCTTCCTTGACTTGGATTTCTAGTCCATCCCCAAAATACAAACATGACCCGAGTCCATCAATGCGCAGACGTAGCCATTCTTCCAGGGAATCGAACTCTCTAGGGAGGAAGATCAATTGAGGGATAAATGACATTCCCATCCCTAGGGAGAGAGAATCCAGGAACCATGGGGAAAGGCGTGTTGTCAGCATCCGTCCAACAGAGGACCTGCCGGCCGATGATCGATTCCGGGAGCAATGAGGTCATCACATCTTACAGCAGCTCTACTAGCCCTGCAGTAAGTCTGCATGAAACACCCCAGCATCTCTTTCTACAGCTAACTCGTTTTGTGCCTGCTCTCCCCCATGCCACATCCACCAAACTGTGAGCTCACGGAAGGCGGAGACCCAGTCTTGTCTGTCTGTGTCCTGCATGCAACGCATGCTGCTCCACTGTAAATGCACAATAATTCAAACACGTCCTCGCATTGTAACTTGAGATCATTACTGCTGCTCTGTCACTTGACAGCCATACAACCATGAGCAAGTTACTTAACCTCCGTACCTCACATTTTTATCTGCCTACAAGGGATAATATCAGATCCTCATGAGTTTTGTGTGGTAGGTGCTACATCCTAAACTAGTCCACTTCTGTCCCACCCTCTTTCTGGTGTGCTTTCCTGGACTGCAGAGCTTAGAGCACTGCAAACCCTATTCCTGAGCTCCCTTGCAGCTAGGGCTCTAAACCAGAAATAGGCTCTGCCAATTTGAGGTTCCTTGTACAGTGGTGTGGAGCATGGTAGTGGAGCACAGACCGTCTTCCTTTTGCTTTTGACTGTTGCCACCAGCGAAAAAATAGTCAAGGATGCAGAGAGGCACGTTGCAGCCGAGATGGCAAAAGCCACCCTTGCTATCCCAGTGCCACTCACCAGCTTCTGAGTATCAGCAGACAGCTGTGCACGCCACCTTCCCGTTCCAGATCACAGCAATGCTGGGCTGATTCTAAACTCAACAGTCCCGCTGGTGATCCCCCCCAACAACCACTTTCTTGATTGTGTTAGCAGTGTTTACCCTGACAGGTCAACTCAGTGATTTTTCTGGGAACGTTTTCCAGGAAACTGGCCTCCTCTCCTCCAGCCTTGCACTGAATCTTTAAGTATCAGACTCTCCGGGTATAATTCCTCCCCACTTAAGATACCAAGAGAGGATTCTGTTTCCTGCACTGAACCATGGCTGACACAGCATATGATATCAGAGGTGGTCACAGGTGACAGACCTTCAAGGATGGGAACCTGGGTTAGTTGCTGACCTGTTGGATTTGAAGGTGGTGCTACCCTGGGGGACAATGGGACACCAGTGGCTTATGGCACACAATGACAGAGTGGGCTCTTACCTGGCCCCTCTGATACTAGTAAGCAATGCTACTCAGAGCAGGACTTTGGCTCACCACTGGCTGCCATGGTAGACTCTTGGAGTGAGAAAAAACTGCAGAGCCAAGGGGTGGGCTGTCTGCTTCTGACTTAAAAAAAGTCGAGTAAAGCTGAAGGTCCAAACTCAAGTTCAAGGATGGCCAGAGGACTTGGGAGCTTCTACAACTACTGCCAAAGAATCTCTTTTCTCTTGTAGCCAAAAGTCAGATGCGGAATTGGATTCTGCTGGCTGCTGAAATACAGCCGAGCTGGGTGTGTGTGACCCATCGAGCCAAGAGCACCATCAAAGATCATCGGGGGAGGTGACACGTGCTAGGTCAGGCTCAGAAGCGTGAACCGAGGCGAGGACGGTGCTGGAGCAGGTGGCTCACACTCACAGCTCGCCTGCTCCTGGGGTGTGCCACCTCTCCTCGGCACACACCTGTGACCTCCTGAGAAGCTCCCCAGGACCAGCTAACTGAAGAAGAAAATCCTCGAGTCTGGGTTTTGGGGGGTTGCATGCAGGTTGCCAACAGGACCAGAAGTTGGCTATGCTAGGTCAGGCTCAGAAGCATGAACCGAGGCGAGGACGGTGCTGGAGCAGGTGGCTCACACTCACAGCTCTCCTGCTCCTGGGGTGTGCCACCTCTCCTCGGCACACACCTGTGACCTCCTGAGAAGCTCCCCAGGACCAGCTAACTGAAGAAGAGAATCCTCGAGTCTGGGTTTTGGGGGGTTGCATGCAGGTTGCCAACAGGACCAGAAGTTGGCTGCTGCAACATTACAGACCCACTCAAGGGCTACAGCGGGTGGCGGGTAGGACAAGTCCAGGGGACAATGTGGTTTGGTTGACTTTTTCTCATGGATGGAGCAATGGCAATAAGTTCTATAGCAATTTATGGGCTGTGGTTAGTGGCTCGATCTGACTGTTGGGGACTCAAATGGAAGAAAACTGAAGGACTAGTGACACAGAAGCCTGGGGAGAGTCTGTGGCTGGGTCTCTCAGTACTGGCCCAGAGGCGGAGAACACCTGTGTCCCTGCGAATGCTCACCAAAAGGTAACATCGTGC